CCAGTGTGGGCGTGCAGTAGGTAGCCAATTGATGATTCTCTCTCATCATTGATATCTCTATCTCTCTGTCTCTAAAATAAATTTTAAAATATATTTAAAAAATAGAGGCCCAGTACACAGAATTCATGCATGGGGGGTATGGTCCTTCAGCCAAGCCTGTACCCTTTCCAATCCAGGACATCACTCTCACAATCTGGCACAGCTGGCTCCTAACCACTTGCCTGCCTGCCTGATCACCCTAATTGCCATCCTGCCAGCCTGGTCACCCCCTAACTGGCCCCTGCAGGCCTGGTTGCCCTGTAACTGCTCCCCTGTTAGCCTGGTCTCCCCTAACCAACTCTGGTTAGTCCCCACCACTGTAGCTTTGTCTGGAAGGACGTCTGGAAGGATGTCTGGTCTAATTAGCATATTACCCTTTTATTAATATAGATAATAAAAAATAAAATCAATAAACAAATCCTCAGGTGATGATTTAAAATATATATATATATATATTATTAATTTTATACAGAGAGGAAGGGAGAGAGATAGAGAGTTAGAAGTATCGATGAGAGTCATTGATCAGCTGTCTCTTGCACGCCCCCTACTGGGGATGTGCCTGCAACCAATGCACATGCCCTTGACCGGAATCGAACCTGGGACCTTTCAGTCTGCAGACCGATGCTCTATCACTGAGCCAAACTGGCTTTGGCAAGTTCAAGGTATTTTAATAAAGTAAGTCTACCTATTTGAAGAAAAGCTTCCTATTTGTAAAATTTAAAAAATATGTTTCAGGGGTATATATGATCATATAAAATGAAGCAATGTAAGCAAAAAGAAAATTAAGATTACAATGTGGAGGCCCTGGCTGAGTAGCTCAGTTGGTTAGAGTGTTATCCTGAAGTACCAAGGTGGTGGGTTTGATTTCTGTTTAGGGCACATACATACTTACAAGAGTCAACCAATTAATGCGTAAATAGATGGACCAAAAAATTAATCTCTCTCTCTCTCTCTCTCTCTCTCTCTCTCTCTCTCTCTCTCTCTCTTAAGTCAATAAATAAAAAAGTATTCTAATGTTGAAATAAGCATTTTTTGCATATTTTATTTATTTATTTATTTATTTATTTATTTATTTTTAATAAATCTTTATTGTTCAGATTATTACAATTTTCCTCTTTTTTTCTCTCCATTGCTTTCCTCCACCAGATTTCTACCCCACCCTCTTCCCTTCCCCCCCACCCCCACTGTCCTCATCCATAGGTGTACAATTTTTGTTCAGTCTCTTCCCACACACCCCTCCCCTTTTACCTGAGAATCATCAGTCCACTCCCTTTCTATACCTCTGATTCTATTATATTCACCAGTTAATACTGTTCATAAGATTTTTAAATTCCCTTGTTTTTTAGATTCACTTGTTGATAGTTACGTATTTGTTGTTCATAATTTTTATCTTTAACTTCTTCCTCTTCTTAAAGGATACTTTTCAGAATTTCATATAATTCTGGTTTGGTGGTGATGAACTCCTTTAGCTATTTTGTGTGTGTGTGTGTGTGTGTGTGTGTGTGTGTGTGTGTGTGAAGCTCTTTATCTGGCCTTCAATTCTGAGTGATAGCTTTGCTGGGTAGAGTAATCTTGGTTGTAGAGTAATCTTCACCACTTTGAATATTTCTTGTCATTCCCATCTGGCTTGCTTAGTTTCTATTGAGAAATCAGCTGATAATTGTATAGGTGCTCCCTTATAGGTAACTAACTGCTTTTCTCTTGCTGCTTTTAATATTCTCTCTTTGTCTTTTGCTCTTGGAATTTTAATTACAATGTGTCTTGGTGTGGTCCTCTTTGGATTTCTTTTGTTTGGGGTTCTGTGTGCTTCCTGAACTTTAAGTCTATTTCTTTCACCAGGTGGGGGAAGTTTTCTTCACTATTTCCTCCAATAGGTTTTCAGTACCTTGCTCTCTCTCTTCTTCTGGGTCCCCCATAGTTCTGATGTTGGTTTGCTTAAAGTTGTCCCAGAGGCTTCTTATACTATCTTCAACTTTCTGTATTCTCTACTCTTCTTGCTTCTGCAGAGGAGTGTCCTCTAGCTCTTTGTGTTCCAAACCTTTGACTTGATTCTTGTGATCTTCCAGTCTGTTTTTAGGACTCTGTATAATATTTTTTATTTCAGTCAATGTATGCTTTATTTCTAGTTGATCCCTTTTCATATCCTCAAAGGTCTCATTTAGTTTATCGGCCTTTTCTAGGAAATTCTTGAAAAACCTTATAACTGTGATTTTGAACTCTAGGTCCATTCTTTTGCTTTCCTCCATTTCCTTTCTTTGTGGTCTGCCTCTTATCTGCCTTTTTACTGCTTCCCTGAGTTGGTAGGGTAGCTTTGTGTGTTAGGTGTTTTAGCAGGGCCCAGTAGCTCAGCCTTCCCAGTTACCTTTGTGGGCTGTGTGTGCAGTCTTGTTGTTAAGTCTTGCTTGTTGTTGGTATCACTGGGGAGAGTTGATCTCCAAGCAGTATCTCATCTAATGGGCTTCTGTGCTCATCTTGGATGGGGCGGAGTCTCGGGGTGGCACAGACCAGCTTTGGTTTCCCATCAGCCTCACTTTAAGAGGGTCCTATTCGCCAAGTCCCACAACACTGGCTGCTGGTGCACATACCCCTTGGGGGAAGGCTATTTTTGAGTTTTGCCTGCTCCCTGACAGTCAGTTTCTTCCTGGATCAGAGTTGGCTGTTGGGAGATTTTGTTTTTCTCTCAATCAAGAAAGCTAGCCACTGGGAGGGCTTTTGCGCTCCACTTGGATGGGGTGGAGTCTCAGGGTGGCACAGACAAGCTTTTGTTTCCCGTCAGCCCTGCCCTAAGAGGGTCCTGTTTCTGAGTTCTGCAGTAATGGGTGCTGGCCATGTGCATCTCTGAGAGAGTTTTGTCTGCTGTCTGACAATCTAATTTCTCCTTGTCTGGAGCTGGCTATCAGTGCAATAGGGAGGTTTTGTTTTCCTCTCGAACAAGAAAGCTAGCTGCGCATTAGCTACCCACCCTCTCTGTGCACCCCAAGTAAGCCAGCAGTGTATTTGGTGGCTGCCCTTTCCTCGCACACAGATCTCTGCACCTCCACCGCTCCTGAAACTCAGTGTTCTTTCTCTTCCCTTCCTAGATGGTAGAGCTTTCACTCAGCCAGCCTTCTGGTGGTTCAGGGTGATGTTTGCTCTGTTTTCCAGTTGTAATTTTAAAATTGTTGTGATAAGCTGCATTTAGGTGTTTACTTTATGCCACCATCTTGGTTTCTCTCCAGATTTTTATTTAAAAAAAATAAAAATTTTGCAGATTTTTATTTAAAAAAATGTTTTCATTGACTTTTAGAAAGAGAGGAAGGGAGAGGGAATAGAAACATTGATGAGAGAAACATCATCAATGGGCTGCCTTCTGCATGCCCTCTCCTGGGGATTGAGCCAGCAACATGGGCATGACCCTGACCCAGAATTGAATCTGGGATCTTTTGGTTCCTGTGTTTACGTTAAATCACTGAGCCATACTGGCTGGGCTATAGATTTTTCTTAATGTTTGATACCTGTTAGTACCTCAATATGCTGATATAGGTATAATTTACAAATATAGTCATAATACCCATTTTATTTTTTTAAAGATTACATTTCTTGAATATTTTCTAATGTGTAGCATTTAGTGAATATAATGCACATACATGTGTGTCTGTGTGTGTGTGTCCTGCCATACAGAATCACACTACCTACAACTGTTGTTACCAGCATTCTTCACTCTGCAATAACTAGTAAACATTTTTATCTTTCCAATTAAAGGCCTACACTATCATTTTTAAGTGGCAAGTTTTTTCACTTAATGGATGCTTTATGAATAATTTTTGTCAACAGTTTTGCATATTTATGTACATATACAGGGTGTTTCTCAAAAATGTATACACACTTTAACAGCTGATAGCTCAATTTTGAAAATAAAGTGTATTATAAAGAACAATGCCTTAATAGTTATGCAAAGTGTATATACATTTTTGGGAGACACCCTATATAATTATTTTATTCAATCCCAAAATGGAGTTTCTGAATCAGAGAGTTTGCATGGTTTAAATATTTCTTGTACATGCTTTTAAATTTACATCCTTGTAGGTTAGAATGTTCATTTCACCACAAACTTGCTGATATGAGCATCAATTATCTTGACGTGATATTTAATATCTTTGGTGATTTGATATATTCCTACTTTTTAGTGAGTCATACATGCTCATCTTTCTCTAATTGGAACTAGCAATTCTGAGGCAAGAGCTACTGTTGAATGAGAACTGGTTTTGTGCTTAGAAAAATAAACTTTGTCACTTACTAACTGAATTTCTACAAGCGATTTTACTTCTAGTGTGAATTTTCTGATTCACTGCATAGATAGGATAATTACTATATTGCATAGTAATCCTGAGAATAGCTAATGTGTGTGTGTGTATATATATATATATATATATATATATATATATATATATATATATATATATAACCAATCACACGAAAGTCTTGATAAATAAATATGCTATTATCTACCTGCTGGGAGCATGAACCCATAACTTTTTTTTTTTTTTTTACCTTTGTTTTAAGAAAGATGAAGTCATTCAGGAAAGCAATGTGGATGCTTCTGATTAAAAATATTGAGGAGTCCAGAATATTCTGGAAGTTCTGGCAGCAGGCAGGCAGGGCTGCCAGTATAGCAATTTGATAGTGGTAATGACTGTCTCTTCGTACCAAATGAATCCAAGCATTGAAAGAGATTCTGCTTTAGAGGAAGTGGCCTTTTATCAGCCCTGGAATTTATGACTAGGGATTAGATTAGTTCAGACTCCCTCAAATCTCCGTGTGTACAGTATGTATGTTTATGTTGGGGAGGTTAAAGGGGGATTTCTGAGACTTATATAATCTCATGGCCGCCTTTTCCTCCTCCTAGCCCTGGTTTCTGTGAACTCTGATTCTCCAGGCAAGTAAACCCAAGGAATACTGTCCAGTTCTTGAATTTCTAAACTATGGCTCATGTAAGTTACTTTTTCTTTCTCTTTCAGAAATATTGTTATATTAAGATCCTATAAACATATATTTATCCCAAAACTGCCTACTTAAGAACCTTCTTTCATTTCCTCCAAAATCAGTGAGGGATGAGGCTAAATAGTGTAATACCTATCCCATGAGTCCTCTTTTCCCCCCAGTTATTGTTTATGTATTAATTGAACAAATCATTCAGCATCACTATATGTGCTCAGTCTCCTGCTAAGAAATGCTATGGAGCAAAAATGAAATCCTTTGAGGGAGATGTTTGACCATATCTAGTGAGATGACAAGAGAGGATAGGCACATTTGATACTCTTGGGAAAACTGACCTTTTCCATACTTCAGTTTTCCAAGTATATGAGGTTTGCTATTGGTTGGCCTCAGCCTCAGTATATCATAAGATCTCATACTTTGTGAAGCTTTTAGGACTGGCTAATAATGTGGTTGGGTCTTGCATGCAGAGATAATGAATCTTCTCTGGGAATCTCTTAAGAGTTGTACACCAGGAACAGAATTCCATTTGTAATTGAATAGGATGTGCTTGTCTAGAAAGCAAACTTTGTGAATCTGGATCACCAGTATCCAGATTCTATACCAGTAACTGGTATCTTCTAACTCAGGAACAAAAAATGCATACAGTAAGGGATGGAAAAATAATGGTAGCTAAGAAGATTGTGTAACTCTCAAAATTGAGGATCGTGACTATTTTGTGCAGATATTTAAGTATGGAAGAAGATTAAGTCTCATATATCCATAGCATAAACTATTGACAATGAATTTATTTTAAGTTTATTTAAAGAATCGCCATTAATAGCAAAACACTTATGATTGGGTTAAACAATGAACTTGGAAGAAATTCTTTAATTGTATTTAGATCTTTTCTAACAGATATTGTAGAGGAACATTTTTTAAAAGTCTTCTCTTAAAGAAGAAAAGTAGAAGGACTCACATTTCTTGAGAATTCATGAACGGGGCATATAGCAGGCAGAAGGCTTATATACAATATTTCATTTAATTGGAAAACTGATTTTTTCTTTCCCAAACATGTTTGAATAATTAAGATATGCATATAGCAGGTGTAGGCTTATATACAATCTTTCATTTAATTGGAAAACTGATTTTTTCTTTCCCAAACATGTTTGAATAATTAAGATATGCATATAGCAGGTGTAGGCTTATATACAATCTTTCATTTAATTGGAAAACTGATTGTTTGTTTTTTTCTTTCCCAGACATGTCTCAATAATTAAGGTATGTCAGAGTATATAAGAAGTTATAGCTGTAGCAACAGAATCCTTCAAGAACACAGCCATGCTGCTTCTAACTCATTATCGCACAGGCTTCTAGCCAAGCCTATTTGCTTGCTTGGTCCATTTTCTGCAGTTTATCTTCCATCTTTTCTCCTTCCATCTTTAAATAAAATTTCTTTAATTTTAATTATTTTATATGTTTTGTCATTTCAGGGGTTAGTGATATTCAGTGATGTGTCCATAGTCTTCTCTCAGGAGGAGTGGGAATACCTGGACTTGCAACAGAGGGATTTGTATAGAGATGTGATGTTGGAGAACTACAGCAATTTAGTCTCATTGGGTAAGGTTATCTGCCTCCAGTAATACAGATTCTTCTCTGTAATGCCAGCTTCCTTTTTTGGAAATTTGAGCAATATCTTTCAACAAATTATCTCAATTTCTATTCCCTGTTCTCAAGGGAATGGTTTGACTTTTTACTTCAAGCATTTTAAACTCGTGGCCTGCAGGCTGCATGCGGCCCACAATGAATATTTTTGTGGCCCAGCCAACATAATGGTATGTAAGAAATGTTTTAATAACAATCTCATAACTTAATTTTTACAGTATCCTGTTATACATAATTATTAATAACAAACTACAATGTTCGCTAATTACTGATTACTATAATCATGTTGCATTCATTTCCCTTATGCGCCTTATACATAGGTGCACCATTTCTTTCCACTAATAGTAGCAGTGAATATTTTAGCAGTTGATTGCCATGTCATTTAGTCTTATACTGAATTGTTTGGTGTGCACAACAGGAAATATTTTCCTTTCAGAGAACAAGAAAAAACAGGTTTATTTGCATTATATTTATTAATTTGTGCAATTATTCAGTGTCTGATAAGTTAATGTTCAAGAAAAAATATTAATTTTTATTAAAATGTTCTATTATTTAATGTTAACAATTACTCATTTATTTCAGCCCTTTGTATTCAGCATGTCTCTATCGAAATAGACCTAAAATTTTTGTTGTTTTGTGGCCCACATAAACTTAAACCTTGTTAATTTGGCCCATCTTAGCTTTTGAATTTGACATGCTTGTTTTACTTGTTTGGAAGGTAGCACCTTCATTAAGTATATTCATCTTTCCAATACTTAAGTGGCCCTCAGGTCTTCCTTAATGATGAGGGGACTAGATTTGAAATCTGGGTATAAAAGAGCTTCATAAGTGTAAAAGAAATCAGGCTTCACTTTGTATTTGAATTTAGAATTGTTATATGTATTTTGTTATTTGTTGATATACTTATCAGGAAAATAGCTATACTTTTTTTTTGTTTGTTTTTTGATTCTTGTTTTTTTTCCCTCTTAAAAGAATACATAATTTTTGTAGTGGTAAGTTGCATCAATTTATGATTATTTACAATTCAGAAGAATGTATTCCTTTTGTTATTAAATAAACATATTCATTTTTACCTACTTTTATGACAATGTTAAATATCCAAGAACTTTGCACTTAATATTGTATGAATATCCTAATAACAATAAATGTCTCAGGAAGCTTCTTACTTTTCTCTCAACAAAATAGCAATAACAATAAATAGTAACTAATGAAATATATAGATAGTGCTTAGTACATTTGTTGTAGGCAAAAATTAATAACCTTCACAACAATTGTGTAAGACAGACACTGTTATTATCCTTTTTTAATAGATGAAAATAAAGCAAGAAACTTGTCCAAGACCACACAAATGGAATATGGCAAAGGCAAAATATGAACCCAGACATTCTATTCTCTCAAGTATTATAGACTCTCAAGAAGTACTTGTATGAAATATAAATTAAAATAAGGCCTTTCGTTCAGTTTATTTTATAATTTAATATGAATGCTTTTAATTTACTTATTTATTTTTATAGTTGACAGTATTATAGATGTTTCCCATTTCCCTCCACATTGCTCCCCGCCAGCCCCTGCCCCACCCAATGTCTTCATACATATTATCTGTGTTCATGGATTATGCATATGTTCATTGGTAGATTTCTTCCTGTTCCTGCCACTCCCCTCTCCTCTGCCATCTGTCAATCTGTTCCATGCATCCATACCTCTGGAACTATTTTGTTCATCAGTTTATTTCATTCATTAGATTCCACATATAAGTGAGATCCTATGATATTCGCCTTTCTCTATCTGGCTTTTTTCACTTAGCATAATAATCTTTAGTTCATCCATGCTGTTGCAAAGGGTAAGAGATTCTTTCTTTTTGTAACCACATCGTATTCCATTGTATAAATGTACTACACACCATCTATCTATCTATCTATCTATCTATCTATCTATCTATCTATCTATCTACCTATCTATCTATCTATCTATCTATCTATCTATCTATCTATCTATCATCTATATATTATTGCTTGAAGCATTACACATAGTAGTACATATATCTCCCCCCCTCCCCTTGACCTTCCCTCAGCCTCCCCTGCCCTTCACCTGCCCTCACCACCGTGTCTTCTATTCATTGGTTATGTTTATATGCATGCATATAAGTCCTTCCGTTGATCTCTTATAGCCCCCCCCCACAAACCTTCCTTGCCTTCCCGCTATAGTTTGACAGTCTGTTCAATGGTTCTTTTTAACTATTTCCCCCTGTTTCTTTTCTTTGAAAAATCTTGCAACTGTAGACTAGAAATAAACATATAATAACAAAAAACGTTTGAGTTCCAATTTCAATGTCCAACAGTTCTGAGGCTGTTTCAATGTCAAATAGTTCCTTATGTGTACATGTTAGCAATGGTATCTGGATGATGGACAGATGGTGGCAATGCAGGTCCGACCCTCTCTGATTTGGTTCTGGGCCAGGCATCATTAGTATCTTCCATTTCTGGATTGTTTCTCCTCTTGTCTTCGTAGTTAGAGCAGACCTGACAACTCTTTTCTGTTGCAGGAATCCCCAGAGTCTTGAAGTAGTTTTCTGAAAATATACAAACATATTCTCAACCAAAAGTTAATCAAGGAATCTTTTCTATAAAATTGACTTGGGATCCTTTTTATTTTTGCCCAAATATTTTTCCTTTGGCTTATTTTGACACCATGTATGGTTTTCATGGGTGTCTTGGTGTAAGCATTACAAATAAAAATTAATTTTCTATAGTAAAATTTTTCTAGATGTAATTTACTTACAGGATATTTTTCCTTACATGATATTACCCTACTATCCCTCTTTTTTTTTTTTTAAATGGATACTTTTGTAAATTTTGTAATGCAGTCTTGATAACTTCAAATTTTAAGTTTTTGCACAAAAATAAGACTGCTTTAGGTTCATTTCATGTTAAGCAATTTTAATGTGAGATGCACTAGCAATAGAAATTTTAGTTAATATTTTAGAAACAGCTTTTTATCCAATACACTTAAATTTTCTGGATGTCCACTTATTTCTATTAAACAATTTAAATTAACTGAAAACTTGATTACTCTTTTACTGTCGAATTTAATACTCTAACAACAATCTTAGTTTACCCCATAAATATTAGTGGAAAGGATTAATTGCATTCTTGAGTAGGTCCTGAGCATTCCTGATGCTATGCTCGATTTAGATATAGGGCAGCTGCTGTTGACCAAATCTCTATCTGTTACCTGGGTCTTGATCTGAGCTGGGCGTGGGAAGTGAAACAGCCATAGGGGCAGGGGACATCTCTCCGAAGGGGTGAGGGTTCAGGTCCCTACAAGGTTGGGGCGTGAGGGTCTGTGCCTCACCTCTGTTGATCTCCATGTTCTCTCCTGATGGCCCCTCTGCGACTGTGTCTGTCTTATGTTGTTCCTTCCCCGGGGAATCTTACCTGTCTCTGGCTAACCAGCCATCCTCCGGGGCCAAGCAGGGTGATTTGAGGTTCAGTTCTGTTTCCTTGGTAGCCTCTGCCCCCATGGCCTCCTTGCCCAGCTTCTGTTTTGGGATCCCCTCGCCTGTTGGTGGGCCCCAGCAAGGATCACATATCTCGGAGGACTCAGGTTTCTTCTCCAGGAGCGCCCAGTTCACACCATTGGGTGAGAGACAGATCCATGGTACCAGCCACCAGGAGGCTTCAACCTCAGCATGAACAGAAAGCTCAGGCAACAGCTGTGGACAATTTGATTGTAAAAGGATGGTCCCTCTTGGCCAAAAGGGCAAGAAGGGACAATATGGAATGCTCCAGTGCCTTCTCAGTGCCTTAATTCCTTCTGAAAGGGATTAAATCCTTTCATGCCCTTTTTTAAATTGCTGCCAAACATTCTGAGAATTAGTTTGTAAGTTTTTTTCAGGCGGTAATAATATGCTATTGTAAAATATCAAAAATTATAATGACATTGTAGGATAATATCATGTAAAGATATTCTTTGGTGTGGGCTCTGGCAATTCAATTTCAAACTGGCTGTTAATTTCTCTTTGTAACTTTATATAAACTTTGTTAGGGAGGCAAACACACAAATTATTTACTTTAGTTCAAGAGGCCAAATATATTGACTTTCAATTACAATCCTTACAACTTTTGAAGGAAACCTCTCTTTATTTCCTTCCATGATAATTTTCAGGCTAGAGAGTTTCATTTAAAAATCTTTGTCACATGAAACAATTTCTCTTAAGGTTATGGTGACCACTTGTATAGATTAGATTTAACATATATTTTTTCTTATAAAATTTTTATTTATTAATTTATTAATTTTTATTTTTTACATATATGTCCCTATTTCTTCATTATCCCCACCCCGACTCATGTCCCACCCCCCTGTTGTCTGTGTCCATTGATTAGGCCCATATGCATGCACACAGTCACTCTGTTGGTCTCTCTCCCTTACTCCCATCGACCCCCACCTTCCCTGAGGTTTGACAGTTTGATTGATGTTTCTGTCTCTGGATCTATTTTTGTTCATCAGTTTATATTGTTCATTATATTCCACAAATGAGTGAGATCATGTGATGTTTATCTTTCTCTGCCTGGCTAATTTTGCTTAACATAATGCTCTCCAATTCCATCCATGCTGTTGCAAATGATAAGAACTTCTTCTTTACCGAAGCATAGTATTCCATTGTGTAGATGTACCATAGTTTTTTAATCCACTCATCTGCTGATGGGCACTTAGGCTGTTTCCAGATATTAGCTATGGTGAATTGTGCTGCAATGAACATAGGGGTGCATATATCCTTTCTGACTTGTGTTTCTAGTTTCGTGGGTTATATTCCTAGAAGTGGAGTCACTAGGTCAAATGGGAGTTCCATTTTTGTTTTTTTGAGGAAAGTTCATACTGTTTTCCATAGTGGCTGCACCAGTCTGCATTCTCACCAGCAGTGCATGAGGGTTCCTTTTTCTCAGCCTCCTCTCCTG